CCGGCCGCCGCCCCGGCCCGCTCAGGTGAGGCGGCCGCGACCGCGCCCTGCCCGGTCAGAGCCCGCCGCGCTGCCCCGACGGTTGCGGCAGGGGGAAAAGGGGCTTCTCGTAACGCCCGGGGAGTTCCCGTCCGCGCCAAGGAAGCGGCGTGGAGCCCTTAGCGAGGAGCGGGTTTTAGGCGGCTGAGCTAGCAGGGCTTCCCCGTCGGGGGGGGGACACACAGAGGTTGCGCTCCGGCTGGCTGGGCGGTGGGGGCTGCGCCGAACTCGCGGGAGCTTTTTGCCTTGGAAGTTTTGCGTTGGATTTCCTAGCACAAGTGCCGCAGCGGAGTGGGGGGTTTTGGGGGCTGTTTTTATGCATCCCCCCCCCCATCACATTTTCTTCCCTCGTCACATGTTTTAACGTCAGTGCAGAAACGCTAATCTTTCTGGGGCTGTATAAAGTCGTTGCTCTAGCGCCAAAATTGAAAGGAAAGCTTTAAAATGCTGCGTTAGACTTCTGTGTGGATCGGCGTGCATCTCCATCTCATGCTTTCGTAAACGGTTCACCTTGTAATCTGTAGTTTGTCGCTTTGTAACGTTCACATAGATTCTGTTAAGGCCTTGGGGGAATTTTATTACAAGATCTCTGTTTATATTTTCCTAGTGCTACTGTTGCTTTTTTAATATTGTTTGGTGTATTAAACATTTGCTATTGCTTAAACTGCTACTGCATTTATTTTTTGCTATTTAAATACTAATGACATTCTTGGAGTCTTTGAGATACTCTTGATATCACAGCTGGAATACCCGCACTGCACATAAACTGTAGAGATGTTGTCTGACAGCTGAAGGCTTGAATGCTTCTCAGCCTGCAGGAAGAAGCAGTGTCTGTCACCTCAATAATCAATAAAGTACTTGGCTTAAAAAAATGTCGCTTACATCACACTGTTAATGTTGCCAAGAACAGGTTCTAAGGGGGGTGGCAAGAAAGTTGAATTTGTTCTCTCTCATGTCCCAGTAATTCAGTCTCAGGGAACAATTAAAAAATTCATTAGTTACTGTGGATTTAAAAAAATTGCTATGACTGAAGTTTTACTGGCACAGCTGTGGACATGAATGCACGCACGTTGGCAACCTGATTTGGTTCTCAGGTGCCTTTTGGCAAACAGCTAAAGGAGAGTAAGAACGGACTTGAAATTAGAACTGAAGAGCAGGGAACGTAAGAGCAGGAAAGAAGGGGAAGCATCAGGAACGTGTAAGGGGAAAAAATGTTTCACTGAAAGTCATCTCTGTAAGTGTTGTGCATGTCTTACAAGGATCAGAAAGACCTTGCAGCCAGTGCAGTTGAGATCATTAAACTGGAAGTGAGCAAGGTATAAAGTCTGGACTGTCTTGTCTAATCTTTGTGGTGCTGGTCCCTGGTACCTCCTGACAGCTGTAAGCCTAGTAGCAGCAAGAACAGATCAGTTGTAGTTTTGAATAGGTGCAGCCATTCTAGAAAATCTCAGGAATTGTTTAAATGGAGAGTTCACTCATAAGCCATATGGTTGTTTGCACTAGTTGTTATGGTGAAAAAAACAGCCTTAGTTTTTGTGTTTGTAATAAATGAAACAATATGTACAGACTGAAGGACTGCTAGCCTTCCAGCCAGCACACCATTGCATTTCTTGGTTTTTGAAATGAGAAGAAATCCTGAAAATAGTGGAGTGGTATCTAAAGTGAATTTTGTTCAAGTTAATACTGAGAATGAAAACCATAGTTCAAAGGGGCAAGAAAAGCATGTGTAAACTTTGCTAGAACCATTGGCTAACTTGAGAAGTTGTTCTAGGAACATGATGGGTGTTTATTCTCCGTATTTGTTGAAATTTTTTTAAATTCGTTTGTTGGCATCTAATGGTAGGGTCAAGGGCAGCTTCAGTGGGTTTTATTGTGAAACAGATGTCAATAAGCTGGATTTCTCTAATAAATGTTATCAAGAGGACAGGAGCTAGCAACATTCTGACCTGGAAACAAACTTGAACTTTTGGACTCCATAACTGCTTGTGGTGCTAATAGATAGAACCAGGAGTTAAATTCCCCTCTAGATCACCCACCAAAATAAACCAGCCTCTGTAAACTTTAATGTTTAAATGGTTTGGAAGCTATTGGAAGTTTCTAATTTTTGTTGGTTAGTGTTTTCATTGGGTGGTGTTTTCACTTACATAATATCTTACAATGCCCTCCTTGCTTTGGTCTGCGTTTTGCAGATCTCAATGGCTTTTTTCCTCCTGGTTCTCTGAATTTCACGTGTCATTCAATATATTGGTATTCAGTGTGTAGATTCCAGGCTGTTTCTCACTAACTTGCAGTTGTTATTTTATGTACGTATTTTTAAAAATAAAAATGTTAAGGTATAGTCTAAAGCTCATTAGAAGCTTGCCCATTAAATTCTATTCATTCCAGCTGTCTGCTTGGTTTGCACTTCTTTTGCCATGTAGACCCACAATTGCAGGGATGTATTATCTTGCATAAGGGATCAAGTTGAAAATTCTTTGAAGAAAATATCTCTTAAAAATTGAACTACATTCTTTAATGGTGACTAGTTCTGATGTTGAAGTCCTTGAACCTTCTTTAGTAATATTTGCGTGCATTAGTCTGAATGATTATTGGTCCGATAAGGTATTTAACATCAGAGTAAAGCTTAATTCTTTTGTTACTATTGGGATTTGACTGTTACCAATACAGAATAATAAAACCTTCTCGGTAGATTATTTGTCTCTGGTGCGTATGAATCCCAGTTCCAACTATTCACATAGTCTTTACTATTGTTCTGATTTGTATAGTACTGTAATAGGATTTTTAAATTTGTATGCAAGAGCAACTGCAAAGAAAAATGCAGTACCTTAACATTTTTCAAATTCACCTGGGGGTGTGCAAAATTGTTACCTCTAATATTTAAGCGATTGAGTAACAAGGCAGTCAGGTAATACAGTGGTTCCCCGCGTCACTGTGTGAGATATGTGGAATTAGTGCGAATCTTTTACAGAATTTTGTACATGTCTTACCTTCTGATAACTTATTACTCCTGACCTTTAGACTTGTTTAATTATATAATATAAATTATAATTATTATATAATTAATTTTTTAATATATATATAAAATTTAAGAAGTTGTAAAACACATCAGGACATTTATTTTTAATGGTGCTTTTTTTTTTTTGTTATAATTAATCTTCCTTCTACCCCTCCCATCCCTAGGGTCAATTAAGTGAGAGCATGGACCATGGAGGAGTTGGCCAATATGACCTGTAAGTTGCTGCTAGAAAATGTTCTGTATCATTCATGACAACTACATATAACTTCTGATTTTGTTACATTGTTAAGTTAAATAGAAAATTTTGTCATTCTTGTTCAGTTTTGAGTTGTTTCTAGTAATTTCACTATTTCTTCACATTAAAATTTGTGAATTGTACCTCGAAATAAAATAATAATAATAAAAAAAAATTCTGGCAAAACTTGCTGTTTGTCTTTTAATCCTTGTTTCTCCTAACATATCTCTTGTACTTGAATAATATTTGTAATATGAATATAATGCACTGTCCGCAGAACATTGTATGTCCTGTGCATTTTATAAAGGCTCCAGCTGCAGATTTGCATAGCAGTCTGAATCATGAGAATTCAGAAGTTCTGATTTGACGTTCAGGAGACAGCTACCTTTAGCATTACTTCATTTATAGATTTCCAGATTGTTTCAGCATACCGTGTTGTCAGAAGAAAGCAGTGATAGTTAAAACAGTTCAGTTACATTTACTTTAGCAGGATCCATCTGTTAGTCTTTTGCAGAACTGTAGCATAATTTAGAAGCATCATTAAATTATGGTTCAGTCTTCTGTGGCATGGTCAGAGTTGTGAGACTCTTTTTTGTTACAGCTTTTTCTGGAAGGTATTTGTGTTACGGAAGTCTTACCGTGACTGTTGGGGCTGCTGAATGTGATCTGAAACTTAAACACACCTTGTAGCCTTGCCTTTACTTGAGGTCCTGTAGGAATATCTAAGTCACTTTGAGGCTTTGGTCTTTTAAAATTAATTCTGGTGTAATACAGAGATTTATTATGCATTAAAATGAAGGAATCTGAAGACAATCTTGATACTATAAATCCCCAAAATTTGCAGATAATCTTTTCTGTGCAAGGTGCAACTTAATGCTTTGCATACACCTAAATAAAATTTCTGATGCTGAGAATTCTCCCAATCTCCAAAGCAGTCATTCGGTTCTGTCAGATATACTGTATGCTTTTCAGAAAGTAATTTGCTTGCTTACTTTAATTTGACCACTTTTGAGTATCAGGTAGTCTTATATTCTTGTTTCGGTTTTATCCAGTGGCATGGAACATTGTGAAAAATTTGAGATTTCAGAGACTAGTGTAAACAGAGGTCCAGAAAAGATCCGACCAGAGTGCTTTGAGTTACTTCGCGTACTTGGCAAAGGTGGCTATGGAAAGGTAAGGAACTCTTTTCTACGGAAGTAAATCCATTACACTGAAGGCGCTTAAAGTGCTTGCTTGCTGCCTTTGGCCAGGTCTAATCTTCCCATCCTGTTTTCTGAAAAGTTCATTCTACCAGAAGGTAACCTCTGGGCTGCCAAGGTTGGTGTCATGGGACCAAAGCCACTG